TAGATGAACCTACGACCTTCCGATAGCCCTTCGGATGCTCTACCACTGAACTCTAGGCATAAAGGCAGGCCACGTCGTTTAACTAAGACATGTTGAAAAAAGCGCTCCCAATAGGAGTTGAACCAAAAATAAAAGAGCTTACCTCTTTCACTTTTTCTGTATCGAAGTCTGGTGGGGCATTTAAAAAGTGTAATACTTTCGTCGGAGAAAAAATCCCTGGTATTAAGTCAAAGACAAATCACAAAACCGAACTACAGTGTGGCTAAAGAACGGATAGGAAAAAAAATAAGGCAAAGGAATAAAGCTAGCGACACCATTAATCTCCGATTAAATTACAATTTAAAAGCGATGTGAGTAAAGGGGGTAAATGTCCGTAGTAACTGTGGTGCCACGTCTGCGGTGGGTATTTCAAGGGAATTTGGTTGGTGACCTAAATCGATCATTTAAATTGGCCAAAGATTTTCTATAGCTGATGTTTTGAACGTTAGGCCTTAGTCAGTCCCTCGAAATGCCAGCTTAACAAGCTCTTTACGGTGGTCAATCTACAGTCGTTCTTGTTTATGGTGGTCAATTTACAGTCCTTCTTGTTTAAGGTACCCAATACTACTGAGCAACGACTTAGTTAGATTTCTACATCCCAAAATTGTTCATCAGAACAAAAAAAATGGAGGATACGATTCTTGCTGCTCTGTTCCGGTGTCCAAAACCTTTGATTCTTGGAATTTGCATAAGTCTTGTAGCATGGAGTTCCGTCTGGCAAATCTGAGACAGTCGACGCATCTACAAGGTACTTTTGCTTGGAAAAACTGCAATGAAAATAAACCAGTTCGAGGAATTTTCAATTGAGGATGAAAATTATTTTAAGATTACATGGGTTCCGTTTTACTTGGTTTAGTAAACGCTCTTAAGTTTCCGCGTCGCTTTCTCAACCAATCAGATGTAATCTGTGGCTAACCGCGACTTGGTAACAGGCCTTTTCCCCCGCTTGAGGCCGTTCCCACGTATTTACTTTTACCTCTTATTGACTCGTGCCTATCTCATTAGAGCGCTTTCGATTGAGTTTCGTTAAAACAAAAGCAAAGTAATTAAAACAGACAATCAGAAGAAAGGAAAATACCTTTAAGAGGCGGTGAGAACTCACAAGTAAAAGCAACCACACTGCCCAAAGCGCGGGGAAAAAACCAAACTGCCCAAAGCGCGGGAAAACAACCAAACTGCCCAAAGCGCGGGAAAACGCGGGCGACCAAGCTGCGATTGGTTTTAGTTTTGAATATGATTGGTTCAAAAAGTGGCGCGAGTTTTTTTTGGGCCAATCACATAACGAAAAAAAGAAAATCAAAGCAATCCCAGATTACTCTCGACACTCGATTGAGGATTTCTCTAACAATCAAAACCGACCGACCTGAACTCTAACTGTTCACCAAACAGTTGCTGGTTCCTCATACACTGAATGACAGTGTTGCAAGCCACGTGATCGCTCAACTCCACCATGGCTGCTCCGGGCTTATTCATCAAGAACTTCACCTAAAACATCAACTCTTCTCAATTATAACAGTCTCGTTACTCTGGCTTTTTTCGTTAGCTCATTAAATTTGCTACCTCTCTTTGTCTCTATCGCCACATGTGTCGGCGCCCGCTGGGGTTGCAATAAAAGTCTGTTACCAGCGGTCTACCGCTGCCAGTAAGATCCCTCATGTAAGACTCCTCACTACCGTCTATTTAACCTGCGACCAGGCTTCCTCGTTTGGGATTCGACTTCCTACCGTCATTTATAGCTGTACTGCTGTTTGGAGATTTCGTGTTGGAGAATTAAACAAGGAAGAAACAAGCTATTCTTTCGACCTGCAAACTACTACACGCATCCCAGCCAATTTCAGGTGTCAAAAAATTACATCAGTTAAGAAATGGCAGCCAGACAAAGCCATGCATTTTACAACTAAACCCAGAACAATTGATAACCCTTTAACTCCCAAAAGTGATTAACATGTAACTTCTCCTAAAGATAACCACACATTATCCAGCAAGCAGCTAAAGAGAATACTCAAACTCATCATATAGCAATTGTTATCTTGATCTAACACCAAATTCTTGTAACTAATTAACAAGAGAACGTGCAGCAGCTAGAGGAGAGAGAAACAAAGCTTACAACGCCTCTTGGGTGAACATTCAAACGTACCTTGAGGACATTTCCATAGCAACAGAGAATATTAAAAACTCTGTCGCAGTTCATCTTATGCTGATGCAGTCCATAGACCATCAGAACACAACCTCCTGCCATAGGTGACTGCTGAAGCAAGGGCCTGGGTCCGCGCATTACCATTCCCCCTCGGCCAGGATATGGCCCGCCTGGGGGGCGACTTAACAGACCTTCTTTCATGGGTGGTCTTACTCCAACAGCTTCTGGAAAACAACAGGTCGATTAAAACACAAATAGAAAACAAACTCATTTATTTACTGCATGAAGTGTGCAAGATAAGGGTTAGTTTTCAAACCTTGGAAAACCATTTAGCCGATCGAAGATTTCAAGTGTTGTAGATATAATAACAGAAAACGCAGCGGGATGTCGAGAAACTTAATAAAAAAAAAATTCATGTGTGTTAACCCTGATGATGCAGATTTCTATGATTGCAATTTTCAATGGACAAAAAAAAAATATGGGGGAGGTCGAAAATCTTTTAAGTCCCCGAAAGATACAGTAGAGATTTTTTGACAGCGGAAAACCCGTCTTTACTGGTGTCCCTGACAAGGAAATGCTTACTGGGTAGGAGAAGAATAAATCCTATTTTTTTTAACTGATAAAGATAATGTCCTCTTGTTGGCATATGTACCTGCATCAAATGTGTCTCATTTCTTCCTACTGATCTAGAAAATATTCTTCAAATCAAGAGAAAATTTCCTTCAAATTCCAAAATTTCTTCAAATCCGTGAGTAGAAGTTTTGGTACTGCACTTTTTTGCAACACTATGGTCAATAAAGGATGCAATTACACCTGGAAACTATATAAGCTAAAAGAACACTGTAATAGGGTCACTTATAGCTTGTCATAGCTTCTATTCAGGTAACTAAAAAATATGAACTAGATTTATTGACTGGATATGTGCAAAAATTATTCCAAACTGAGATCTGTTATTGTGGTGATAAATAAGTTTTCTAGAGTTAGTTTTAGGCCTAGAGATATTTCAAATAAATCAGAGGACAAAGAATGAAGCCCACAAAATCTTCATTAAAGGAACAATTTCACAAGTGTTCTTCAAGGTGAAATGTTATATGGGAAGGTTAGGAATAGTTTCATCACAGAGATAGAGAAAGGCAATTTCAAAACAAAAGGAGACAGTACGATAAATGCAGCATACAATCCAATTTGTATACTATCCTCATTAACCCCTATTTATTCCCAAGAACTCATTCTTAATTCTCTCTACTGTCTGCCATACAATTCTTAATCTGTTAACTCAGAGAATTTGGTATTGGATCAACTAATAATCCTCTGATTGATATTTTTCTTTATTCTCATCACTTGTCTGCTTGATGTTTTATTAATATTGTAAGGAGAAATTCTGTTTTGGTCACTCATCGGAGTGAAAGGGTTAAGATGTCACTGAATATTACCAAAATCATTGCAGTGTTGCTTGTAAGAACGAGTTAAAGCAGAAATAGAAAGGAATCAGTGCTCAAACAAAAGGTAATAAAAAAAGTTCTGCAAGTTAGTGTTGTGACAATAAATCAAGCCACACAAAGAAGAGCACATATAATGCATTTGTGAGGGCAAATAACCTGCCATATTGTAGAGTTGGTTATTCTGTACGGTAAAAAAACCTGTTTAACAGGTCAGCTGTGGGTGCTATGTTTCTTTATTTACTATGTTTTTCCTGCCTCATGAAAAATGAGGAGAAAAACTTGGTAAAAAAAAAAAGCAGTTGGATAATAAATAACTTATTAGACATTTTGGTGTAGTATTCCTTCATAATTTTATTCATTATTTGTATTTTGACTTGCCCCATGGGCTCGTCAAAATACCCTAAAATTTGTAAAACTACTAAGTGATAATACACACAAAACATCTAATGAGATAAACACATTAGCCCTTTACACCATAATGTCAGTGTGCATATTCTCCATTCTGTTCTCTATACATTTCCTAAGGTGCTGACATGGAGAATTTATTAAAAGATCAAGAGCTTATTTGATTGGTGATCATTTCCTTTCTTCTCATGACCTTCATGTGTGATTCAGGGCTGAGATGGTTAGGAGAAGTTAGATACTAGTCACTCTTACAGGTCAAAGGATTAATTAAAAGTACATGACACTGAATGCAAATATGGCATCCAATTTGAATTGCTATTGTTCTGGACTCGCTAGCCTCGTCTTCACGTGGAAATACAAAAGGATTATTACAAAAGTCATGTGTGAGAGGCTAGTCAGTCCAGAAGAATGGCAACTCAAATTGGACGCCATATTTGCATTCGGTGTATGACACCAAACAGGTTTGCTGTACATCTGGGCCGATAACATGTATGAATTCAAAAGGTCAGAATGAGCAAACAATTGAACCTTGCTAAGGTCATGTAGAGGGGATTCTTCTTGAAATTGCAATGCTTTGTGCACAAAACCAGACTTGATGCAATGTTGAATACATAGTGTAAAAATGACCAAAACAACACTATTTTTCATACATTGATAAAAAAAAAACAAAAAAAACATGCAAAAGCCCAAAATCAGTACATGTACCTTTAGGAACTTACTTAAAACCCTTGTGGCTGTCATCAGCCCTCAACTCCATCTCGAACTAGAACTAAGATTGGGATGTACATGTATGGAGAGATTGACTGATTTGAAGCGCAGTGGGGCTTGTTGTAAGTTTTGAAACCAATAATATTAGTACTTTTTTCCAAATAAACAACATAGTCAAGACACCTTTTAAAATCTACAATAAAAATACCACATGGAGTTTGTATTTGCAAAAAATTGGAACGATGTGGACTTGGGATAGTCAAGACACCTCTAAAATCTACTATAAAAAATACCAAATGATGTTTTCATTTGGCCAAATAGAAATGCTCTGGGCTTGGGATGGTTGAGACACCTTTAAAATCTACGATAAAAGTCATCAAGTGATATTTGTATTTGGAAAAATCAGACTGCCCTGGTCTTGGGATCCTCACATGGAACTCATGCTGTCACTTGAAATGTATTTTGCCATTTTTACTTTCGTATTAAGTAACTATTTGCCATGTAACAGAGAATGGGGTAAAAAATATATCAATGAAACATAAGGGAGGAGTACAGAAACTCTTTCAATAAACTAGAGACGGAAAGACAATTTTGTAGAGGAAACAAGACAATAAAATATCATATGGAGATGTAAAACTGAAACTAGCATTGTCATCACAGAAAATGACTTACAGCCCATAGTCTGTGTAATCATCTTTAAGCCCAATAATAATAATAATAATGTACTTTGCTTTAAACACTTAATGCATGAACATTCATGCACTGTTTTTGGCATTTTAACAACAAAAGTCTTGTTTATTACTCATTCTACCTTGTAAGATTGAGTATCATTCTTCCAGTTTAATGTTTAAATATCTCTGTGACCATAACGGACGAGAAAGATCAAATTCCAACTCACCATATGCTTTGTCTTCAGTATAATCAAATGTTTCCTCATCATTCTTGTACACATTCAGTGATGTAGCCTGAAAAAATGTTTCCATTACTTTTCACTTTAACCGCACTAATCAATTCAAAGTATCAACATCCCCCTCCCCCAGAATTACCAAGGGCATTGTACTGTCATCGATGCCCTGGGGTGGGAAATTTCACCCTTACCTGCCTGGGGTGGGGAATTTGAAAAAGCAGCATAGGCAAGGAGTTTCAAGATAAAGAGTCCACTTTCATGAGCAAATGCCTTCAAAGAAAATCTTCCCATCATCGAATGATGTTCACAAGTGAAAACCCAAACAGTTGCACCAAAAACTATTACATGACCTCTACAACATTTGTTGATCACGCTAAAAATCTCTCAATTAAAAAAATTGTACTTGACTGGGGCATTCAGAGCCAATTTTTGTCCCATGAAGCAGGAGTTTAGAGGTGGAGGTGTGGCCGAGTGGTCAGCGTGTCGGACTTGCAATCCATTGCTCCCGGGTTCGAGTCCCACCCTGGCCACTACCTGGATTTGTTTTGCCGTAGCTCCGAGTTCAAATCTTCTGCCACGCTTGTAATAAAATGGCCAACTGGTTTGCCTCCGGCCAGTTGGGATTCTTAACAATGTTACGTTCAATTTGAATTATTTGTTTATAGCCCACAATGTAAACTACTGGGTTACCAGTAATTGTGTTAGCTATTAAAGTTAATTTTTATTTGTTTTTGGTTTTTTTTTTGTTTTTAGTTTGAAAATACCCTAGGGACTGCCGTGCAGAGGGGGGTGGATGATGTCAATCTTTGAATTCATTGATGCATGATGGATCAACATCATCATTAGAAGTCTTTTTTCCATCCTTAAATCATCAACATTGTCATCTTAGTCACTGTCATCATCATGTGCTATTTAAAAAGATTCTGATACTATCTAGAGCATATACAAAATGTACAGTCCATGTATTGGCCATTGAACCACTTGGACACAACTTTCCGATGAAATTGATCAGGCTTACTCTTGAGTATTCAATTTTCAGTGTGTTACAGCCAGTGTAAATGTCAGCTCTGTTCAAAACATCTTTAGCTTGTTGAGCTTGGTCCACTGTAGCAAATCTGGTGTGCAATCATTGTCAAGGGATTCAACAAAAATCCTTACTCCTTAATACACCAGTAAGCAAAACCCTCCTAACTGTTCTCTATACCTTTTCTATGGTACTAACAGTACAAGGAGCTTCTTGAGTTTATGATAATTTTACTTATTCTAGATAATGACCTTAATGTTTGATTTAAAGGTGAAACATAATGTGACTAAGAATGCATGTACTGGTTCTCCATGGGGATCAAACACACCTCCAATGGATAACATTCCACACATTCTACACTCATATGCACGTACTTTTATTTATTTTCCCTCACTCTCTACACCCACAAAAGTATATTTCCACACTTTTAACCCTTTATGCACTAACATCGGCATGCATGTTCTCCATACTGTTCTTCGTACATTTCCTAGGGTGCTGACAAGGAGAATTTGTTTAATAATCAAGAGCTGTTTTTAGTAAGTTATCATTTTCTTTATTAAGCGACAGGGGGCTGATATTCTAAGGAAAAATTAGATGCTAGTCACTCTTAGGTGTCAAAAGTTTAAAGGATTCTTTTATCTAACCCGGTCACTCCCAGGATCTTATTACTAATTCTCCTATCTGTTTGCTAGACTTTTCTTATGGTGTAAGTTTGGAGAATTTGGTATTAGATCAACTAATAATTCCTCATTAATTTGATATTTTTCTTAATTCCATCACTTGTCTGCTTGATATTGTATTGATGTTGTAAGGAGAAATTCTGTCTTGGTCACTCGAGTTTTTCTCAAATAATAGGATCTTCCTCGTGGAAATGGACACAGACTTGCATTTGATAGAATCTCTTCTGATTGGAACAGGTTGCAACACTCCTCCTAAAATTTGCATGCATACTTCCCACTGGAAAGTGTCGGAGAATTCAAATATAGTAAAGGATACTCAACCATGGCCTGCAAACCACTCTTCCTGAAAATGACAATCCTTAACACCTGACCTTGTTTACTAAAGATTGTGTGCAGAATGTCCTGAAAGTAAAAGAAATCTTCAAGTTTGATGTACTGATAATCATTTTTATTTTTTTCTCAGTTCGTGAGCGGGTGTTATTCTATAAATCCTGCAATCTGATTGGTTACGAGAGCGAGCAGTATTCTCCCCATCCAGCCAGCTCACAGTGGGCGGTATCTGTTTCACTTGAGTGACTTTGCAGAACATCTCAAGCATTGTTGCAATTTTTTCACAAATATATCTCATTTTGCCGGCTGGGCAGAACTTTGAAGGAAAGACTTTGGTCACGACCTTTTGGCGATAAATAATTTTATTTCTTTCTTCTCTCTCGCCGTCAAATCACTTTGGTTTTTCCATAAAAATTGATTTTGAAATGAATTTGGTGGTAATGAATTTGTTTTGAAAACAATTGAAATGCAATCTAAAAACAATTGTTATTTAATAATCCTTCCCAAAAAGTAACTCAGAAAGTTAAAACAAGAGGTACTTGCAATTAACAATTGCATTAATCAATGCGACTCTCGTTCGTTAATATCTGAATTCTTCCTTCTTCCACATAGTTTGTTCATTTGTGAAAGGTTGAGCAAAGGTTTGAGTTCTTCTATAAATACACTTTCGCCTATTCTTTGCAAATGCCTTGAATTTGGACATTTCTACCGTAAATTTCACAACAGAAAGCGGAGGTATTAGATGAATAAAAGTCGCATTCAACCCCCTCTAGCTGGAAAGACTCTCACTGACTTCAGCTTTTCAGTGTAAGAAAGACAGATTTACACACACCAGTGCAGAAAACGAACAAGCAGACTGACAACTCTAAAACACATTGCATTCACTTACAGTTTGACTTTCCGTGACATTTTAAAACGGAACAGTGGTAAATCTTCGAAGATTAATCGTTGTTAGAAATAAACAGTACTTTCCATAAGATCTCTGAGTGTTTTTTTTTTACAAGAAGATTGCCATGTGTTTATCATACAAGTGTTGTTGTTTATTCAAAAGCGTAAGCAGTTTTTCCTCTTCAATTGACAGGTGTCAGATCGTGACAGTTGCTTGTCAAAAAATGTTTCAAAGTTTGTCCGGAAGCCTTTCAAGTTACATTACAAATAAAAATATTTCAAAGAAAGCTTTCTCTTTGAATAACATCTGTTTTCTTTATCATCCACTCGCTAACAAATTGTTAAGTTTATGGAGGACTTTTCTGTAATTAAACTCGTAATTGTAGCCCTAAATCATTCAGGTTCTTTTAGCAATCATTTCGTTATGTGTTAGAAAAAAATAAAAATGTTATTCACCAGCATAGGTCGGTCCGTATTGGGAAAAACTGTGTCCTCTATCTTGAGTACCACCCCAGGGCACAGTTTTTCCCAGTGCAGACCTCCTGGCTGGTGAATAACATATATATAACAATTTGTGTAATGCATAACTTTGTCCATTACTTAGAGGGGTTTTGGTGCCATTCAATCATCTATCTGATGAGCTAAGACCTTAGTACATATTCACTGAGAAGACTTGATACCAAGCACCAGACATGGAAAACACTACAACCAGTGCTTAGCCCTGGTAGTAGTCCCCTGATACTGGACTGGTAGAAATTGCCTCTGGACT